GCGCTAGTGTAGCGGCTATGAATGTTAGTTCGAACTAACGTCCGTTAGTTCGAACTAACATTGTAGTGTAGACATACCCTCATTGAGGATAGGATCCAGAGGGAGCTATATTATCACTGAGGATGCTAGGATTATCTGGGATCTCCCCCCTTCATTTCCTCTCTCTCAGCCACCAATCTCACTGAACTAAGTTGCCTTCCCTCGGAGGAACCTAGCAGCCACTCTCTCCAGGATGTGCCATCATATGCCACCAGCTGCTCTCCCGCCTATAGGGCAGAGCCACACAATGTTCTCAGCTCCCTATAGCCACTGGGGCAGAAGATGAGCTTGGGACCTAAACTGAGAGTCACCTTGTGGCAGCACAGCAGAATGACACTGGCTCAGCCTGAATTCAGTATGGGGCAGATTTGGCCAGCAAAGGGCAAGGTGATGGTATCAGCTTTGGCTCCAGGCTTCTTCTACTACAGCTACATCTAGAGCTGTGCAGGAACCGGAGTTTCTATTCCGTGGAAAGTTCAACAATGTTGAAGTTTGGTTTTGTTTGAAATCAGAACAAAAGCAAAACATTTTGAAAATTCCCACTAAATACAATTTTTGAAAATCATTTGGGGTCTGTCGAGGTATTTTGTTTTGATCTTGATTTTTTTCATTCTCTCATCATTTATACTATAATATCAAAATGAAACAAAGTTCTAACCCCCAAATCCTTTTGCAATGAAATATCAAACCTTTTTTGTTCTGAGCAGCCTGGTGTTTTCACCACGCTTGCTTTCAGTGTTTTTCCAAACACATTTTTTATTTCATTGGCATGTTCCCATGGCATGTTTCATTTTCAACTAACTGGCATTTTTTGATGGGAAAAATGTTCCACTAGAAAATTGTCAACCAACTCCAGTTACATCATCATCATATTAGACGATTCCTTCTCCTTAAATCCTCGGTTTGTTGCCACCGCCTCCCTATCCATTGCTTAGCTACTCGCTCTGTAAATACACCTTTCCCCCAACCAGATGTCTAGCTACTATCCTGCAGTTTAAAGTTTTCAACCCGTTCCACTAAAAATGTGTATCCATTGACTCTAGCCAGGGTGCAGCAGGGATGGAGGTGGAGACAGTGCAGAGCAAGCACCATAGTGGGGATTGGTGAAGAGGAAGCTGGCTTAGGGCAGGCGTGAGGAAGTCAGGAGGCATCAGGCCTGAGTATCACTCCAGATGAAGGAGGTCTGGGAATGGAATATAGCAGAGAAAAGCAAAGGGGACAGCCTACACTTGGGAAGTAGGAGTGCAAGAGGGTGCTGCAGCATCCCCAGACTTTGCACCCAGCTCCCCCACACCCACAGCCCGCTGCCAACACACCGCCAGCTTCACCAGGTCCCAGGCTCCGAGTGCCTCCCACCCAGGCCTCCAGGGCCCCGCTGACCCCACTGGCTTTACCACTGCCTGCTGTGAGTTCTGCCAGCCCTTAAAGTCTTGTCACCCACTGGCTCTGCCGGCCCCAGGATCCAGGCCACCGGTCCTTGGAGCTCCCCCACACCCACAGCCCGCTGCCAACACACCGCCAGCTTCACCAGGTCCCAGGCTCCGAGTGCCTCCCACCCAGGCCTCCAGGGCCCCGCTGACCCCACTGGCTTTACCACTGCCTGCTGTGAGTTCTGCCAGCCCTTAAAGTCTTGTCACCCACTGGCTCTGCCGGCCCCAGGATCCAGGCCACCGGTCCTTGGGCTGCCAGCTCAGGGCTCAGCCGTTGTGGTTCTTCGGTGGGTGGCAAGGGGCTAGGGTTGCCCACTCTCCCAGACCGTATGGACTGGCTGACATTGCCACAAATGGCATCCAAGCTGGGAAAGCTGGCAACCGTTGGAGGGTCACGAAAGAGGTGAAGAAGGGGGTGTAACTCAGCCACCCCAGCCTACGAATTGTAACAGCGCCACTGGGGGGGGGGGGCATCATCACGTCAGCAGTGGCCCAGATGCCATCGCACTCACTGTTGGGGGAGGAAGGGGGTATGTGCATGTAAATCTTTGCAGCTGGCAGATGGTGAGATATGTAGTGAGCTAGAGTGGTATCCTCTCAAGAGCAATAGGAAATCAGATGGCACCTGAAGCTCTAGTTGATCATTCAGGCACCTTTCATGCCCTACAAGGTAGGAGAAGTGGATTCAAATCTTTGCCTGATTCAGAGGAGGCATATGAGCAGCGAGTGCCTTAATCCCAGGTGAGCGCCTTAATTCCCAGGCAGAGTCATTCTGTCCACATAAATCCTTAAATATTCTCCAGGCTGAAGTGGAGCAGTTTCAACAAGGAAGACTGAGATTAGAATAGCCTGTAGACTGAGAGTTAGGCTGCTCATCTGACAGAAGTCAAGATCCAAAACTGGATCTCCTGCATCTCAGGTGAGAGCCCCAACCCCTGGGATGAGGCTATAAAGACACGCACAGAGATTGCTGGCTTGAAACCGGCTTTTCTGATTTGTCCACAAATTCCTAACAGTTTCAGAGCCAAGCCAAGTTTTTTTTCCAATGTTTCAGTCTGCTGGCCAAGATGGAAAAGTCCATTATTTTCCCATCTCGAGCCAGGAAACAAAGTCCACACACTCCTGTATGACCATGTTGGGTTAACTTTACATATGGAGGGCACTTTGGTGGCTGACCCACTGGGAGGTTAATCTTCCCAGCAGACTGCTCTAAGCAGTAAAGTTGGAGCAGAGGGAAACAGGTAGATGAAAGGTCAGGGAATAATACAGTCCCATCCCATCAGAATCCAAGGCGAGGAAGTACAGCCCTGTGGCTGGGACTTGGGTTCAGCTGAGGTCTGACTCTAAGCATACATGAAATACGCAGCTGTTTAGGGCACCTGAAAATGTGGGACATCCCTACACAGCTGTGTGTGCTTGTATGCCTAAGTATGCCTCTACTGCAGCCTGCCTGGTTCCTCTCCATGCCCATCCCCAGGGGCTCTCTCCTGCTGGCAGCAGTAGAACTGCCTTCTTCCTGCCCCCCATGCTCCTCTCAGCTAGCAGCCAGCCGCTAGTGAGGGCTTCTTCCTGCAGGGAAACCCCGCCCCCTCCTCCCCCGAGCCCTGGTAGAAGCTGCACGGAGTTGGGGGGAGAAGCCCTGAGCCCCTGGCCCTGGCAGAAGCTGTGCTGGGAGGGTAGAGTGGGGAGAGGAAGGCAAGCCCTGATCTCTAGCAGAAGCCATGGTGGGGAGGAGGGGGAAGAGGGGGGTTCATTTGTGTGGGGCCCCATAAGGTGTAAGAATGTCCATGGTTCAACTCATTCCTCCATCACGACTTACTGTGTGACCCTGAGCAAGTCTCTGTTCCTTAGTTCCCTGTCTATAAAATAAGGGCACTATTACTTGGCAGGGGTGCCATTTGGATGAATATGTTTAAGAGATGATGAGGTTCTCAAATATGACAGCTATGGGGGCCATAAGAGTAAAATACGTGGCTCTTCTTCTGTGATCTGTATCTTTGTCAGTTTCACAAGGCCTTTGTTTATGGAATGAGACGTACCTTTCGGTTCTCCTCCTTTCATTTTTCTTAACACACTTGATGAGACAACAGGTCAAAAAAGCCATAGACATCAGGAGGATGATGGCACAGCTCACGATGGAGGCAATCACTGCTACTTTAAATCCAAAAGCCTCGTATTTCGATATGGCTGCAGCAAAGCAAATACAGAAATAGGTTTCCAAAATGAACACCTGATTAAATGTAGCGCTCTCATTTCCATGAAATTGTGCTGACGTTTCCCTGCTTCACACTCTTGCTAAGAATAATGCAATGAAAACTTTCACGTTAGTATGCCCTAAGACACTCTGAGACATTTGGCTGCGTTTCAAGCTAAGGATGTCTCAAAGGTGAACTATTAAAAAGTCTCCTATTTATAAGTGATTAATGAATTGTTCACAAGTAACTTTGCCAGAGCAATTAATCAAACATGATGCTGCCAGCATTGCAATGACAAAACAGCACAATTCTGTCAGTACCTGAAATGCAAATAATGTACCAGAGGTTTTCTGAAATTAAATGTTAACAAATAGAGCCCTGCGTGGATACAAAATTTATATCCACGTCTGCATCTGTATCCGCAAAAATGAATCATAGATATCTGATTCCACATCTGTGGGTGTGGATACTTGTGGATATAACACAGGTATCCAAACATTTTCAGGGTTCTAGATACAAAATTTGCATCCACATCTGCCATGGGTGTGGATATCCATGCACTGAAAGCAGATATCAGCAGATTTGCAGGGCTAAGGGCTGTAAAAACAAGGACTAGAGCTGAAAAAACAAACACTGGAAAGGAAAGGAAATATTTAAATTAGCTCCTGCTTAGGGGAACGATAGGTCTGTACGATGATTTCTTAGGACTGACCATTGGACAGACTGTGGAAGCAGGGCTGGTCATCAGGGATCTCTATGGATGTTGTAGGGGAGAGAAATAAATTATCCAAAAAATGAAGCAGCAGAGGTAGGGTGTAATCATCTATGCCAGACCAGTTCAAGCATTGTAGTGTCTTCTTAAAGCTAGTCCTACTTCTTACACTACCCTGCATGCAAGGACTAGAAATTATTTCTGTTGCATTCCATAGATAACTTTACACTTTCTCGGTCTTTAAAACTCAGTGTTCTAATTTACTTACTATAATGGAAGCCTCCTAAATCAGACGTAAGTATGGCTCGATTGGAGCAAGAATTCCCAGGGCACGGCAAAGTTATTCATCTACCTACCATGCTAATGTGAGACAAGTTCCCAAGCTTCAAACTTGAGGTCTATTCTGAATTTCAAACCCTCAGAAGTTCATGGACATTGAGACCCAGAGTTTTGCTTCGGGCCCATTTCTAGTTTAATTATTATCGTGTGAGTAATAAATAAGGAACAGCACTGAGTGAAAGGCTGCTAATATTGGTGCCATTGAAGCCCTATTTTTCAATATGATAGCTGCTGTGCTTTCTACCCACAGGCAAAAGAGTAATTGAACATTACAAATATCTCCATGTTCTTTGCCGCATGATCCCTCCTGAAAACACTGGAATTAAATAATGCAATATACAGGTGCATTCTCATTGATCATGTCTGTACATTGTCCTGACAAAGAACAGCACATTTTACAGCTAGCGAGCCAAATTCATCCCTGGTGTAACTCTACTGAAATCACTGACATTAGATGCTGCACAAATCTGACTAAAAGTCTTTCCAGCGTAGTAAATCATGATGTCTGGATGTGCGTGGAGTGCCACAATAGGCAATGGCAACAGCTCTGAATGAAATTCAGCATGCCCTCTTATTTCCACAGCCCTCTGGGATTAATCCCAATGTTATGCCACAGCAAAGCTTGAGAGGTTACCCAGGCAAACAGCTAGGGGCTAACCCAGGAGAGGCGTTGAGCAGTTCCAGAAGAAGAATCCTTACGTTTGCATGAGGGAACTCCGGCAGTCCACTGTGTGCTGTCCCCCTTCCATACGCAGGTTACAGCTCCTTGTCCCACAAGCAGGTGCTCAGCGGAGCACTGGAATGTTATCACTGTTCCAATGGCGGTGCCATCACCATGAATTATCTGGAGTGTGCCAAGTTGAGGGGGAAAGATTTGGCTACACTGTCCTGCAAATTTAAAAGAACAGAACAAGACAATGCAACGTTAGGGCCAATTCTCTTGTCTACTGACGCAAACAGAACAAGACAATGCAACATTAGGGCCAATTCTCTTGTCTACTGACGTTGAGGGGAATTTTAATTTTTACTTTAAGAGGATTGTATTTTAACTCTGCATGAGGAAATGGCCAAAAAGCAAACAAACTCTCAGCTGAGTGCCCACCTATGGAATAAGCATCACTTAACTCCAACGTTGGTAGCTCAAGCAGAATGTAGGTGGTGCATCGACTATGCTGGCACCCCTGGCACCCCGCACAAAGGTGATTTTATCTTTTGTGAGGTTCTTTATTAAGGATGCTACATTCAGAAAAATCTGCTTTGTGCCATATTATGCAGCAATATCAATTTGCTTGCATCCAAATTTTCTTTTGAGGCCTTACTAGTGTCAATTTTGTTTTATTTGTATGTCAAGAAAGATCTTAGTACCTCAGGGTATGTCTACACTAGCTCGTTAATTCGAGCTAGGTAGGCAAATCAGGCAACCGGAGTTGCAAATGAAGCCCGGGATTTAAATATCCCGGGCTTTATTTGCATGTTCCCGTCCGGCCGCCATTTTTAAATTCCCCGTAGTCCAAACTAACTGCCCACGGCTACATGCAGCAGTTTAAAGTTAATCCGAACTATGTCCTTAGGAGGAGTAACAGTTAATCCGAACTAAGGATTTAGTCGGGATTAACTTTAAATTGCCGCGTGTAGCCGCGGGCAGTTAGTTCGAACTAAGGGGGATTTTAAAATGGCGGCCGGATGGGAACATGCAGATAAAGCCCGGGATATTTAAATCCTGGGCTTCATTTGCAACTCCGGTTGCCTGATTTGCCTTCCTAGCTTGAATTAACAAGCTAGTGTAGACATACCCTCAGAGTTTAATGCTAGAGTTGCTTATCTCTGTTTTTTAAAACATTTCTTTTTAACTCTGTAGTAACCTCTCTCTTCCCCCTCACTTTTCTCCTTGTACTAATATCTTTAGTTCAATATTGTTCTCCCCGGTATAACTGAATATTAGGTGCTTTGGTGGCCTGTTTTGGCAGTTATCTCTATATACTGATTGTTACTGTCATGAAATGTCTCACTCATTTTTATATTATTTAATTGCTCCGTCATTAAGGAAATATACAGCATTCTGATATAGCTAAAAGACAACAATATGAGATTTTTCTATTCCCATATGTATGGACTGACATAAACCTGACATCATCCTATGCATCCTTTCATACATGTTTAGCAAACACCTATGTTTCTCTTTATCTGAGACTCTGAACCTTCCATTCATTCTCCCAAACATTTCAGTGGGCATCCATGCACACTCAGCAGCAGCTGCACAATCGATTGCAACACTGGAGTTTTAACCATTATAATAAAAATTATAAAGAAGAAGTGGAGTTGTTCTTGAACTGATTATAGCAGAGCAGAGGTTTACCATTACTAACAACATTTTTTGTTTTTATAACTATTTATTTAGGAACTTTAAATAGGTTTACATGTTTATATAAAATCTGTTTTATTTTTATTTTTAAAATCCCACTTCCATTTCCTATTTATATATTTACACAGCAAAATCCTGGTTGTCTTATACTCATGAGAGTTTTGCCATTGATTTCAAGGGGATTAAGATAGGGCCTGTTGGGCCTGATTCTTTTTTGGTTTACTTTCCAGCATTCATCAATGGATATAATTAAATAGTAGCTGCAAAATCTTGAATTCCATGGAAGTGGCACACGCTTCCATCTATGCAGAACTTGACCCTATGTTTAATTAATACTGAGCTTCCGATACATAGAAACAAAAGACAGGTTGTTCAAAGTTTGATATAACTATCTGCCTTTGATTTATGCCCTTAAAAACAAACAAAAAAAACCCCTAACAAAAACCACAGTGACAATTACTGATTCAATCTATTCTATTACATCTACATATTATATTATATCTACACACATGCAAATATGTATAAAGGACTAGATTTTAAAAATATGACATTGGAAATCTGTGCAGTTTCTTTCTGTTTGCTATGTTTCTTTCAACGTTATCCCTTGTTGCAATAATTAGTACCAACTAGAGCAAATATTTTCTAGAGAGATTTCCCCTTGATCCTACCCTCCTCTGCCCCAAATACCTGATCATTGGTGCCTGCCTGATGTGCAAGTGGCACACCCTCTTTTTATTTAAAAGGACTATCGTGATTTTTCTTGAAAATGTGTTCAGTCTTGGCCTGAAAAGCAGTTCTCACACATTGCTTCTGATAATTTTAAGTTTCATGCTTTTCTTTTTTATAATGCCAGAACACTGAGTATGTACTAGCCGATAAAGTGATCAGAGTTGACATCAGGTTACACCGTTATCAGTGGAAAGTGCACAGTGCAACTTTGAGCAAAATTTGGTACACAGTATCTCTCTTTAGCGGCATAAAGTAGCCTTCATTAGAATCCCTCAGTAAATTTGTCTATTGGCCTGAAAGCTCTGACATCTTCATCCAACAACCATTCTCCAAAGAACTGATAATTTGCCATTTGAGTCTTTCCTTCAAGATAAATTTAAATTATTGGGTTGTTGACCTTCTTTGACTCATTTAGACTTCTGGGTCTAGTGAAATTACTCCTTGCTCATAATTGCATTATCCTGTCCAGTGTTTAATTTGTAATGAAAGAGATCATAGAATCCTAGGACTGGAAGAGACCCCAGGAGCTCATCGAGTCCAACCTCCTGCTCAAAGCAGGACCAAATCTAAAATGCTGGGACTCACACAATTTTTTTACATACATAATTGATGCAGCAAGCCCAGGTGTGCCAGGGCTATGATCTGCCAAACCGATAGGTGCTGGCACAAATTAAGCACAGATTCCTGTCCCATAATCAGGGGAGCCAGCACCCCTGAACAAGGGGGGGGCAGCTCCATACCCCTGGAAGGGGGGAGCCTCAGGTGGAAGGGGCAGGGCGGAGGGAAGCCAGCTCTCAGTGCTGCCCAGACCGTGGCACCCCCCCATGAGTGCTGCCTGAAGCGTACTGCGTGGCAATCCCGCCTCCTCCAGCAGCCCTAAGAGCCACTTGTAGTGTGTTGCACTGTGCTCTTGTAGCAATTTAAAGGGCTCTGGGCCCCTTTGAATCACTAGGGCCCGGGACTGTTGCCTCCCCCCACCCATGGGTGGGCCTGCCCATAATGATATATGTAAAGTGATTACAATTTCTGAGCTCCAATTGCCTTGCTGCCATTCCTTCTTGAGCTGCTTATTTTCAAACATTCACTTGAGCCGTTCAGAATGTCTAAGTCTTTCTCACCAGCTGATGTGCCACTAAGCTGTGCGTATTTCCCTGGTGTGCCTGGGGTTGTGGTGGCATTACACTATCTCCTCAGGGAGCATTCCTGGCCTGAGGGTACTTGTGAAAATGGCTTCTCTGGACAGTGGCTAGTAAAGGGCAAAGCTTAAAAGGTTGAGTTTATACAATCATACTAAAGTTCAGATGCTAATCTGAAACTTCAACTACTCAAGTGTCTGTGGTCTGAAAACTCGGCTAGAAATCATGTCAGATCAGCTCTTGGACAAACAAAACATACCTTTATTTTGACCAGGCACTCTCTGAATTTCCTCCCCTGGCCAGATCAGATTCTCTGCATGGCAGTGTCGATTTGTCAGAGTTACTGCATTGTTTCATTGTCATGCTTAATTCAGGAAGTGCAGAGCTAGACTAGGTTTGTGTTTCGTTGTTTCTTTTTGGTTTTGGTTGGGGGTTTTTTCAGAGCATTATACCAATGTCCAGATGAATCTGAGTTTATTCCAATTTGAATTTGGGGATAACGTTCAGGTCAGTCCTATTTTATCTAGAAATGGGCCAAAATCAAAAGTCTGTCTCAGAACATCCTTGAACAGTGAGGAAGTGCAGGTCCAGAGCAGAGCTCTATGACTCAGATTCACCTCCAATTTCACGTGCATTATTCCACTCATCCTTATTTTCTCCTCCTCTCCTTTATGTTTTCCTCTGCCCTATGTGGATCAAATACCCACTGATACCTATGACAGGCAATCTTTTTATAGCCATTTCTTGCAGTAACTTTCCTGACATTTTAACCTTACTTGTCTTCTGTTTCTAGAAAGATGATCATTGCTGTAAGTTTCCTGCCTCTCTATTTAGATAAGCAGATGTTCTGTAGCATTATCCTTTGTATACTCCTCAGGCATGTTCATCTGACTCGATCCATTATAACAAGGAAGTTAGTTTTACATGTAGAAATATTTGCTGTTGAAATGCCTCCTGAAGTAAAATGTAATAGCTGGATAAACATTGGTGATTGCAAAGTTTGCACCTGGACCTAAAATTTCGGAACATGTGAGTGTTCAGATCTAGGGTTTTAGTATACGTTTTTATCTAGAAAATATGAGTTAAAAACAGAATAAACTTCGCCTCTCCCAGCTATGCAGCTCCTTGTCAACTAGGGCTCAGTCCTGTGAAGAATTTGAGATTGTTTTGTAGTCTGTATCATTTGTAGTTAGGTTACTGTAAGAACTTAACATTCATGGTATCTTGGTTAGTTTTTATTGGTCAAAAGGTTTTATCTCTTAGTTGATGATTGCAACTTTTAGAATCCGATTACCATTCCAAATACGAGTTCAAAATTCACTTTCTATTCACATTTTCAAATATTATGTTACTACAAATATTTGCACAGACGCAAGCAGAGTGGACACATGTTCTTTTTAAAAATTTAGATGGAGTTTCGTTTGTTTGATTTCGCAAAGCGGGTTAACCAAACTGCTTGACTAGTCCTACATAATACCTGTCTATACTGTGAATAGTTCTAGAAAATGATATCAGTTCTTATCTTTCAAAAATTGTAGCAAAAATCACTCAATTTTAGAAGAAGACTCAAGCCACAAAGTTTAGATTCAGTTCGAATGTTGAATGTCCTAACATTCACAACATTTTTGTTAGTCTCTAAGGTGGCATGGGACTATTTGTTG